AGTAATATGATGCAACAACCTTAAAAAACCATCTTATGTCCATTTGTTTGATCAAAATTTCGAAATGTACACTCTTTTCATTCTAATGAACAATCACAAAAAAAGAAAAAATTGAAAACACAACCTAGAAAGTATTTTTTTAGCATAGGCAGTTCATTTTGATGAGATGCTTAGATCTACGCTTTAGAAAGATTTTTTCATTTCCAATTTTTTTGGATGGCTTTATTATCATTAGATGAACAATGTTAAAAAAGAAAAAAATGATTTTAAGTTTATAAAGGCTAAGATCTTGAAATTCACAAAATGAATGGTCTAGACTCGTTTTTGGAGAGGACTCATTTTGACCTTATCTAGGGTTCAAATTGAACTTTTTTTTTTGGGGGTTTGATTATTGAGATGAAGAGAGTGTGTGTGAAAAATTTGGGGTCATACAAATACCACAAACATGGTTTTCTAGAAGTGTCGTTGCCTTATACTCTGATATAACTGTTGCATTGGATCATTGCTCTATATATATATATAGGATTTCCCAGTTACATATTTTGAGAAGCATTCCCCTTACATAATTTTTTGGGACTTCCTAATTTTAATTTTTTTGCTTTTTCATTACGTGATTAATATATTGCACAGTTCTGCATAGGCACAAAATATCAAAAGATGGCAATGACTTAATGTTATGATGTGCGTTACCTGTTCTTATCCAGGATGTCCATGAGACTGCTGCTGGTGCATTATGGAATCTTGCTTTCAATCCTGGCAACGCCCTTCGAATTGTTGAGGAGGGAGGAGTTTCAGCTCTTGTTCATCTCTGTTCCACCTCAGGCTCAAAAATGGCACGCTTTATGGCTGCATTGGCTCTCGCTTACATGTTTGATCGAAGGTATATTTTGCATACTAAGGACATTTATTTCTAAAACCAGACTAGACGTTAAACTCATAGAGTGGTTGGTTTTTGTTTAATCTGATTGGACTGGTGTTTACAAGTGGAATGAACTTTTTTAATGAAAATAAACCAAAAACAAGAAAAATAAAAATTGTGTGCGCACGTGCCCACACGCTTGCGTGCGTTTGTGGGGGAGTGATTTCATGCAACGGTTTCATAGTTAACTCTTTCAGAAAACTACCATAAGGGAAAATGTATGACCCCAAATTTTGCACACTCTATACATCCTGAGGCCCCCCCCCTCCCCCCCCCCCCCCAAACCCCAAAAAAACAAACAAACCAAGAATAAAATATTTTAACCTCGAAAACATCAAAATTGTCTTGCTGTAACAATCAATCAATGTAGACTGCCTATTTGGTGGACATTGAGACCTGGGTTTTTAAGAACTCAAAACAATTTTTCATTGTTTTAAAATTGTTCATTTGATGATGATAATAATGCCATCTAGAAAATTTCGGGTGAAAATTATTCCCTTAAGGCCTTGACCTAATTGTCCTATCAAATAAACAGCCTATGCCTATTGTGTTAAAAAAACACTTTTTAGGGTGTGTTTTTAGTTTCTTCTTTTTAATTGTTCATTAGGGATGGAAAGAGTGTGTGTTTAAAATGAGAGGTCAAACAAATGCCTTTAATAAGATTTTTAAAGGTGTTTTTTCATTATGTTACTACAAAACTGTTGCTTGAAATATATGTATATGGAAGCATCTACAAAACGCCTATAGGTGAAGTTCTACAGTACTTCACCTACACCTCATCACCGTTCAAAGTTCATCACACGGTCACGGTCTAGTAATATTTAAAGTTTTATAATTATTGTACTAATCAGATTTATCCAAAATTTAGGGTGTGTGTACATATGACCAAGTCGCACCAAAATAAAATATTAAAAAAATAATGGTCATAAAATAAAATGATGAAATTACCCTTGAAACTTTATAGGGGTATTTTGCATAATTT